ATGGTAATATCCTTCATCTCACCTTTGCTTCAAAAAGAATAAGAAGAACTTGTAACAACGTAACATAGTAATGCCTGTAACTGCATCAATGAGCGCAGAATCAAAGGAAATTATGCATTTGAGAGTTTTTTAAATAATTCATGATTTAGGTTTACCTTTTAAACAAAGATATATACCGAGTACAGATACCATTTGGTATTTCTATCTCTATGAAAACTGCTATAAATGGACCCCGTGAGACGTTTCAATGGTTCGAAAGAAGGGCGAAATTTTTTCGGGCGAATTTTGCGGTATACATGGTACTGCCAATCTCGTATACATTATACGAAGGCAATTTGAAAATTCAGTGAAAGGTGTTGAAAAAATTAAATTTTGCATAAAAAATCGCTAACCGATACCGAAATAAAGGAAAGGCCGATAAAGTCATGGCAAAATTCTGGAATGCATGCGGTGTCAGTCACGTCGATTATCTTGAAAAGGGCAAAGCGATCACTGGCGAATTTTATTCGGAGATTTTTTACGGATTCGATTTGAAGCAGAAACGACCATATTTGGCCAAGAAAAAAGTGATATTCCAGCAAGGCATTGCGCTGGTACACAAGTGCGCTGTCAGGGCGGAAAAATCCATAAATTGGGCTACGAATCAACTATATGTATTCACCATATTTAGTTCCCAGTGACTATATCCTGTTTTCAAAACCAAAGAAATGGTTGGGCGGTGGGACATTCGGGTCGAAACAAATGCTTGTTTTGAGGACCTTGGCAGGAATTAAAAACTCGAAAAAACGCTGGACCAAGTGTATCGAAATATAATCCTTTTTAGTCGAAAACAAAATACATATTTTATTCAAAAATTCATTGACTTTTCAAATTGCCTTTGCACATTCATTTGAGGAATACGTGTAGTGTAGCTGTTTTGGAATTCTAGTAGAAATTTATCAGATAAAAAAGTCCCGTAGAACGTTTTGGATCTCAGAGCAAGTAGTGCATAAAGCTTGGTTTGGTAACATGGAAGCCATTCATTGATGTTTCGATTTTATTCTCAGATGAGTATCTTTAAAACCAATCAGTCTGATTTTGAGACCAGAAGTAATTTA